GAACTACAGGCCAATCTCCTTAATGAATATAGATGCAAAAATCCTTAATAACATACTAGCAAACAGAATACAGAGGATCATCAAGAAGATCATACATTCTGACTAAGTCGGATTTATTCCGGGGATGCAAGCATGGTTCAACATATGTAAATCAATAAATGTAATACACTATATTAACAAGTTAAGGACAAAAACCACATGATCCTCTCAATAGATGCAGAAAAAGCATTTGACAAAATTCAACACCCATTCATGATAAAAACCCTGCAAAAAATTGGAATAGATGGTCTATATCTCAATTTAATAAAGGCTATCTATGAAAAACCAACAGCCAACATCATAGAAAATGGCCAAAAACTAAAAACTTTCATGTTAAAATCAGGAACAATACAAGGATGCCCACTATCACCACTCCTCTTCAATATAGCTGTGGAAACATTAGCCACAGCAATTAGACAAAAGAAAGAAATTAAAGCAATAAAGATAGGAAAGGAAGAAGTTAAACTGTCATTATTTGCTGATGATATGACACTCTACATTGAAGACCCAAAAAACTCCATCAAAAGACTTCTAGACTTAATTGACAGTTTCAGTAGAGAAGCTGGATACAAGGTGAACACCCAAAAATCAATAGCCTTCTTGAACACAAATAACAGACTCACTGAGAGAGACATTAGGGAAATAATTCCTTTCACAATAGCATCCAAAAAAATGAAGTATTTAGGAATCAATCTAACAAAAGAAGCAAAAGACCTCTACACTTAAAACTATAGCACTCTGAAGAAAGAAATCAAAGAGGATATAAGAAAATGGAAAGATATCCCCTGCTTCTGGGCAGGAAGAATCAACATAGTGAAAATGGCTGTACTACCAAAACTGCTATACAGATTCAATGCAATGCCAATTGAAATTCCAACACTATATTTCACAGAACTAGAAAAAAGAATCCAAAAATTAATTTGGAAACATAAGAGAACTAGAATAGCAAAAGCCATCCTAGTCAACAGAGACATATAACAATTCCCAATGTGAAACTATACTACAAAGCCACTGGGATAAAAACAGCATGGTACTGGCAAAGAAACAGATCTGAGGATCAGTGGAAGACACAAAAACAAATCCAGATATACTCAGCTGCGTCATCTTTGACAAAGGAGGTGACCATCCTCAGTGGAGGAAAGATAGCCTCTTTAATAAATGGTGTTGGAAAAACTGGATTTCACCTGCCAAAGATTAAAAGTGGACCCTTATCTTTCACCATGCAATAAATTAAAATCCAAGTGGATTAAGGATCTAACCATTAAAACAGAAACACTAAACTTGCTGGAAGGTAAGTGAGGCAGAACTCTTAAAGACATTGGCATAGGCAAAGATTTTATGAACAAATCCTCAGTAGCGCAGGAACTAGCAGAAATAATCAATAACTGGGATCTCATCTTATTAAAAGGCTCTGCAAAAGAAAACATCAACAGAACTAAGAGACAACCCACAATGCAAGAAAAAAATTTTACCAGCTGTGCCTCAGACAGGGGACTAATATCTAGAATATATAAGGAACTCAAAACAATCAGCCCCCCCAAATATAAAGACCTGATTCAAAAATGGGCATCTGAAATGAACAGACATTTCTCAGACAAAGAAGTAAAAGCAGCAAGTAAATATATGAAAAAATGTTCTACATCACTGGTCATTCAAGAGATGCAGATGAAAACAACACTGAGATACCACCTCACCCCACAAAGAATGGCTGCTATCAAGAAATCACACAATAAAAAATGTTAGCAGGGTGGTGGGGAGAAAGGAACCCCTCTCTATTGTTGGTGGGAGTGCAGACTGGTGCAACCATTATGGAAATCAATATGGAGATACCTCAAAGAGCTGGGATTGAGAAACTAGAAACTAGATTTATTCATAGGAAAATGGATACATATTGAGGATATACTCCTAAATGAAATAAATAAGTCACACATGTGGAAATACCGAATAATTTATCTGGTGTGAATAAACTGTAATAGTACATAAGATCCTAATCAGATAACTGACATTGTGAAACGGGAAGAAAAGGGCTAAAGGTGTAGGGAAAGTGGGAAGGGTAGGGGAAAGAGAATAGCATAGGAAAATGGATACATATTGAGGATATACTCCTAAATGAAATAAATAAGTCACACATGTGGAAATACCGAATAATTTATCTGGTGTGAATAAACTGTAATAGTACATAAGATCCTAATCAGATAACTGACATTGTGAAACGGGAAGAAAAGGGCTAAAGGTGTAGGGAAAGTGGGAAGGGTAGGGGAAAGAGAATAGGGAAAAGAAAAAAATTTGAGCAAATGAAAAGATGGAAATAAAGTGTTTGTAAATGGGGAGGGGAGGAAGGGGTGAAGGGAGGGCAAGGACAAGGGGAAAAAATGAGAACCAAGACCTGTCATGCAAAGGTACAACATCCCAGTAATGAACATAAATGTACTGTACACCAATAAACTCAATTAAAAACAAAAGGAGTATTTCATGCTCCTTAATTCATGGAAGACTGTGATTGTCTGCCTTTGTAAGTCTTCCTCTTATTTTATTACTTATTTTCCTCCTTTATTTAGACACTGTTATTTCCTTTTACTTGCCTGAGTAGAAAGCTACTTGAAAATTTTAGTTTACATGTTGATTATGTTTATGCATCCCTCAAAATGTTTTGCTGTTTTATATGTGTATATTCTTGATTTATGTACTTTCTCCAATTTATCACAGTATTTTCAAGATCTCTCCATGCAGCTGTGAACAGATTTCCTTTGGTGCTGCTAATGCTGCAATCTCTGCAGAATAAGTCTCTGTGGTGTGTTTCAGCCACATTTTACTTTTCAGTTTTTGCAGCAATGATCATCTCAGTTGCCCCTGAATTCCAACACTGATAAAATCCCTTACAGGTGCACACGTAGGAAGATGCTCTGTGTGTTACTTCCCCAGAAGACAAAAGGACTGACAGCAAGAAATCAAAGATTAATTACCTCTCTCATGACCGTGTCTAGACTGAAGGTGAGCAGGATGCAGAGAAGGAAAATGTCTGCAGCATTCTGTGAAGTTTGTGTAACAAGCTGTTTATGAGATTGGATTCTTTCTTGCAATGTCTGGGCTCCTGCTTTTCCAATGTCTCTAAAGAGAGTTATCGTGCAAAGCAAGCCCTCTGGCCAATAATCATTCCTCAGTTATCACTTTGCTAAAATTAGACTTAGATACTTCAGGGCACCCACAACCACAAATTCACTTCCATCATTCTATTTCAGGTTAGGATATGACCCAAAGCAGGCGACAAATATGTAGGCTACTGTAGCACCAAATTAGAGTACAAGACGAAGCAAGCCATGGGCAGTTAGAGTCTGTAATAAAGCAAGCTGTTGGGAGGAAGAGCAACTACCAGGTCCTGCATACTTCTCATTGCTGAGGTCTCAGAAATTTCCTCCAAGCCACAGGAAAAGAATCCACCTAGCATCCTTGACTTGGCTCTGCATGGGACTCCAAGCTAAAAATAAGTACAATAACGGATGTCATGGCACTGCTGATTTATTTAAATGAAAAGATTTCTCCTGTGTGATTTTCTATCTCTGCTCTGCCAACAAACCACTGCCCGAAGCAGAGAACATGCTGGTGACCACTGGACTGTAACTAACACTACTGGGTTTGGTGCACTGGAATGATTTCAGAGCTTCTTGGTACAATAGGCATGACCTGCAGTCTCTCCTTCCGTGAGCTAACCCTACAAAGGTTGGGCTAGATTACAGCATGCAGTGTGGAGCTCTGCATAGGCGATGTGAAGAATACCATGTTCCAAAACTTCTCCTCTGCTCTCCAGAAGAGATGGGAAAAGACCAAGGATGCTTTAAAGCCAGCCAACCCTGGATTCTGCAAAAGGCAGAGAATTAACCACCCTGTACCTCAGCGTTCTTATCAATAACGTTGACGCCATTGTCTATTGTTTCAGAATTATTGCTGATGATTAGATCCAAAGGATATCTAACATGTAATGCATTCGATAAGTGGCCGATAAATGATAACTTCTAACATGGCTTGCATTGGTTTGTGCCCCCAAATGCGGTACAAACATCTTGTTAGGTTTCCCCTCAAATTTGTAACCATGGCACCATACTCTTAGGTGTAATCATATTTCTGTGCAGCTGCCCACTCTTCACCAAAACTAAGCCTAAGAATACATGGTTCTCCCTGATTCTTTGGGTCTTCCTTTTTGAAGGCACCTGTGTCTTGTAAAACATAAATTTACATCTTGTTCTCACATTCACCCATCTTTTATGAGAACTGCCTCAGCATCATGAATTTTGGGATGAGTGAGAAACCTTTTATGTCTTATAAAAACAAACCAAGAAGTAAGACAGAGTAAAACCCAGATTACATGAATGGATCATCTGACTATCTGAATCTGTGCCATCTGATCGAACTTTCTGGATGATGGGAATTTTCTACACAGGATTTAGCCAGTGAAGCATGGAGTGCACACGTCTGCCTTGTGAATACTTTTTCTCAGTACTGGAGATTGAACCCAGGTCCTTCACACCGAGCTACATCCTTAGCCCTTTTTATTTTTTATTTTGAGACAAGTTATCATTCAATCACCCTGTTGCCTGGACTGAGCTCTGAACTTGCAATCCTCCCACCCCAGCCTCCCAGACTGCAGAGATTACAGACCTGTGCCACTATGGGTGATGCACTGAATTTTTAATTTTATTTCAGTTAATTCACATTCAAAGTTAAATTGAAGTAGCCCCATGGACTCTGTACTGGACAGCACAGTTCTAACCACTAATAGAATCCATAATTCTCATGTGGATACATATTTAATATGGTAAATATTAATATTTAATTAAAATATTTGATTCATCCATCAAAGGAGGAGAAAAACCACCTAGATCAAAATGAGACAAAAAGTAAACAAATATAATGGTCAATATATACCCAAATATATCAGTAATTATGTTAATTACAAAAACCGAGTGTGGTAAAACGAAGATTGCCTGAAATAAACAAAGTTTAACTCTAAGAAGCTTATAACCATTGCTTGATTATGAAAATTTCTTTAAATGTAGCCGCTCCTCTCTTCCCTCTTTTCTTATCCTCCTTCTTGGCATATCAGACCTAGCCTAAACCTGTTCAGTCTTCCTCTAAGTTTCAACCTTTTCCCCCGATTTTTCTATTATTTATTTATCTTTGCTGAATTTTTATTACTTTTTCCATTTCTGTCAGCAATCCTTGTTTTAACTATGATCTATGTCTTGTCTGACCTTTCCATTGAACTTTAATTTCAACATTTCGTTTCTGGAGTTCTTCTCTATTATTTTTAAATGATGTACGCTTGCAGTACAGCATCCTCCCTGTTCTCCCCTGTGGCTCCTCCTCCTCCTCTCATCACTTTAATTGTGCCAAGTGTAGTTACTCCACACTGACGGTAGTCAGTGCCTTTCAGACTCTTCTAGTTATGCAAGCTCTTGGAGTTCCAGTATATTTCTTTTCACTGTATGTGTATGCTCTGTCATAGTAAATTATTTTCTTCTATGATTCATAAACTTTACGTCCAGGAATTCCTTCTTACCCTGGACTGTTGCAAATGTGACTACAGAGGGTTTTGATTCTCCTGAACACTCTAGGATATTTCACTGGTGCAAAAGCCCGGAGTCCCGTTAAAGTCCTAGAGAGAATGTCAAAGGAGACTTCATATTTGAATACGGAAAACACTTGGAGCTTTGGCTACTCAGAGGAACCTTTTTAGATTTTAGTTCTAATGTTCAGTTTTCTCATTTTCCTGTCACTGAGACAGAGAAATTTGAGATCCTGCCTTTGTGCAGTAGCGTGGGTTCCCACTACTTCCTCCCGTGAGGCCAGTCCTTGTCTTTTGACAGTGGGGAAGCTCGAAACCCTCACTTCAAATCCTAGGGGCTCCCCCCGGCCTACAGCTCCCTGAGGTCCCCATAGCACCTGCTGCTAAGATGATTTCTCTGGCTCTAATTTCCTTCCTTGCCACCAGTGACTTTCACCCTACAACCTTTAACTTTAGTTACTTCCCACTCCCTAACTGTGTTAGGAGCCCACAGCCCCAAGGACTACCCCAGGATCTGTCCACCAGGCCTTCTCCGCTAAGGAGACTTTGGTTTGTGGCTTTGTTCAAGTCAACTTGCTCCTCTGCAAGCCTGGACCCAGGAGCTCCATTAACTTACACAGGATTTCCTATCTGCCAGTAGCAGCTATATCCTTCCTGAATAGATTTTCTGAAGATGTGCAGTGCATTGGAGGTAAGAGAATCTCTGCTGTGTGCATTGCCACCTGTGTCTTGTTCCAACTTCGTCCTTCTTCATCTCGAGACCCTTTATGTTCTGACTTTCTCCAGAAGTCCAGGCCCTCACCTGTCTTCCTGCTGAGCCGGATGGGAGGGCTGACTCTCCTCACAGGAAGCAGACCTCGGGCCACCAGTGTACGTCTGTGTTCTCAATCCATGGAGATTCTGGGGGAAGAACACTTTCCCTGTGCCTTCAGATCCTCACAAATTATCTAGAAGAGACAGAAACAAGACTATTCATTGCCAGAGTTTCTTAATTCAGAAAATTACAGTTAATCCATAAGCAAAAGGGAAAATAAGCATCAGCATCTGTAAGGATTGTTTTGACATTCATACGCACTGTACACACACTATAAAATGTGTCTGTTGATTCAACAAATATTTATTAAGCACTTAATAAGCAATGTGCTAGCTTCCAGGGATATAATTAAAAACAAAAGTACTTAGCTGCCTCCCTTTCCCGCTAAACTATAAATCTTAGGAGGGAAGAAGCTTTGCTTTGTTTATTCAGCACTGGACCCAAACGCTCAGCGGTACACTGGGACCTAATGGTACATGTTGAATGAATAAATCACAGATTACACACTAATGAATTACAACAAAACCTAAAGGGGCCTATGGGTGTACCTCAGTGGTTCAGCATGTGCTTAGCACACACGAAGCTACCTAAAAGAAAAATGACATGAAATTGTTCCACAGTCCAGTAATTATTTTAAAATGACAGAATGTCCTTCTCATTCACTCACGTGGAAGGCTTGTCGTATGCGCAAGATCTTAATAACCCTACTCAGCCTTCTCAGCTTCTCCTTTTTGCTCTCTCCTCCTGGCTGAATTCATGGCCTCCTTTTGAGGTACGCTCCTTCCAGTACAACCAGTCTTTAGACAAGTGTGGGTTATGGGGTGCCATTTTGGTTTTGCCTCCTACTCGCCCTTAAAATTCCTCAGAGGAAGACCTTCCCGTGTCCCTGAAAAGAAGATTTCATAGGTCCACGGACTTCCTCAGTTAGGTAACAGGTGGCCTTGAGTCACTCAAGCCACAAACCAGAGTCTCAGTTCAGAAGGAAAGTTGCTCAGGCTAAGATATTAAATATCTCTTCAGTCTTTATTCACATGTTCTGGCCCCTTTTCCACTACAGTGGAGTAGGAGCAGGACTGGCCATTGGGTAATGTGGGCTCAGTTTCTTTCTGTCCTCTCCCTTTCTACCTTTAAGTTACCATGGAGTTTTTTAAAGTGCAATTTACATACAATAATATTCGCCAGGTTTTTACTAATCCGTGTTTGCAGAACACAGTGTGCTCCTTGTCTGGAACTGGCACCTGTGCATAACTCACCTTCGTTCCTTTCTCTCATCTCCTGTCTCCCTCTTCCTCTGCCCCCGCTTCATCTCTTGATCCCTTTCCCATTTGAGAAAAATCTGTCTCCCTACTTCTTCTGTTCTATCTTTCATTTTGCTCTTTATTTAGAATTTGGGCTTTTCATGTAAAAGTAGCCACGCGACATTTAAGCTGTGGGTCAGATTTATTTGACTTAAAATCGTGGTTTCAGGTTTCATCCATTTTCCCACAAATGACTCAAGTTTACCTCTCTTTATGGCGGAGTGGTGCCCCATTGTGTGTAAATACCCATTTACTGTATCTACTCACCTGGTGGTGGACATCTTAGGCTGCTCCCAAGACTTAGTTATTATACATTGTGCTGCTCTAAACATGAGTGTGCATGCATCACTCCAGTGTGATGTCTTTAATACTTTGGGGAAGAACCCTAGAAGGGAAAGAGCTGGATGAAATGGAATTTCTAGGTTTCATTTTTGGAAGAGTCTCCACACTGATTTCCCTTGTGGCTACACTCTACATTCTTGGTAACGATGTAGAAGAGTTCCTTTTCCCCCACCCAGCCTTGCCATCGTTTATTATTTGTGGTGTTTGTTTTTGTCTTTGTCTTTTCATGATGGCTGTTCTTTCTGAGGGAAGGTAGACTCTCAGCATTGTTCGGCTTGGTGTTTAGCTAATCGCCAGAAATGCTGAGCCTTTCTTCTTGTATTTACTGGTCATGCAGTTGTTGAGTTTTTGACAAATGTACGGTCATTTGATATCATCACAATATTGATATAGAACATGAGAGCCGTCCAAGTTTCCTCACTGTCCTTTTAATCAATCCCCGGTAGGCAATCACTGATCTGCTTTCCAGCCCTGTACGCGGGCCTTTTCTGGGACATCGCAGCAATGGAATCATGCAGCATGTGGTCTTTTGTAGGTGGTTTCTACTCTGTAGCACAATGCTTGTGAGGTACACACCTGTTGTGTGTATTAGTAGTCTAGTCTGGTTCTTTTAATTGCTAGTTTTATTCTATTGCATGGGCATATTATTATTTATTTTTATTTATTTGTCATTTAATAGATAATTTAGGGGTATTTTACCCAGTAGGAATAACGCTACTATGCAGATTCAAATCCAAATTGCTATGTGGATATTCGTTTAAACTTATTCCAGATAATTACTGAAAGTAGGACTTTTTTAGTCAGTGTTTAAACATGTAGGAATGGTGGAATGCTATTTCCAGTGAGATCTGGATTTCCACAGGTTCCATTTGTCCAACATCCTCTGAAGCACTTAATATTGTCATCTCTTTCATTTTTCCCTGTAGTAAACGTGTTACCTATGGCTTTAGTTTGCATTATCCTAATGACTGATGCCGATGAACATCTTTTCGCATGCCACTGCCACACTTTTTACCACACCCTGTGAAGACACTCACGAAAGAGGACTCCAGAACTGCGTCGGAGGGTGACGAGAACCATGGGATCAATGCGTCCCAAGCTGGGGGAGTGTTTTGAAGGGGACTGATGGAAATGTGTCTTCTGCTGTACTTCGTTTTAATGACATTTCAATTGCCTATGTATGTGCTGAGTCCCGGCTGTGTGAACCATGGGTAGTTCATCCCTGCCTGCAGGGTAAAGTTAGACACCACAGAGGGACAGATCAGGATCACCCACCCATCTCCTAGCGTTCCTTTTCCCTCCCATGTTGTTTCACTAAGGCTGAACCATTTATATGTCTCTAGACTTGTCATGCTTGCCCATTCCCTCCTCCCTGATCCTCCCTGCGCCTCCCTCCCCATCCAGGTGGTCATGGCAAGTGAGTGGCCTTCAGGGAAGTGCACCCGTGAGTTACAGGGAGCACCAAAATGCGCTGTGCCCACCAGTGTACCTGCCTGGGAGTTTCTAATAGGGCATTCAGTGACAGCACCACAGAACTGCCAGCTACTGTGTTTCTTTGGCATTTGGTAGAGGGTAGAGAAGTACGCAGGGTAGAGGACATTGCTGACATCCGTTAGGACTCAGTTCAGGGGTCTTCTCCAGGAAGCACCCCAGACCCCTGTGCTGGGGCAGGGGTGCCTGTGCTGCATGCGCTTTTCCTGCCTATAATGCTGCTGTTCGATGCCTCAGGGATCAACTAGTTGTGGTAGTAATCCCAGCCTTCTGGGAGCTGATGCAGGAGGATGACAAGTTTGAGCTCAGCCTAGGCAACTTAGTGACTTAGTGAAATGCTGTCAAAGAAAGAAAGACAGAGGAGGGGGAGGGAGGGAGAGAGAGAGAGAGAGAAAGAGAGACAGAGAGAGAGTGGGTACAGCTCAGTGTAAAGGCCCTGGGTTCAATCCCCAGTACCACAGGACAGAGGAAACTCAGTGATGTGTGCCTGTGTCTGTCCTCAATGGCTCTTGGAGGACAAATGTGTATAACACTGACTTTTGTACCTCATCTCTTTTTTACAAAAAGAAAAACAAAGCAACAATAAATGTGCAAATATAGTAAGGATTTTTTTGGAAAATGAAGAGATCACTTCAATTAACTGGCACTTCAAATTTATTCTAAAACTCTAGCCATAAAAATCCTTCATTTCAAACTTTCTTTGTAGTTAATATATTTTTCCTGTGACCTAGCAAAACCAAGGGACTGAAATCATTCCAACCCTTATTGTTTCACTGTTACAGCCTCTTAGAGGTACTTGTTAGAAAAATCTATGCAATTGGTGTGATATCATATAATATTTAGAATCAATAAATCTCTTATTATTCAGAAAAGCATGAAAAAAACACAGAAATGAACTCCCACTCCACTTATCACTTTTCTAGCCTAGCTGGGTTGACAGCTGCCTGAACCACAAGAGAGTTAAATAAAACTCTAATTCAGCGTTAGGAGCATTCTCTGCCCTCCACTGTGCGCAGGAAGGGTAGTGTTTTTCTCACAACTGTCACGAAATGTATTACATATGTGGGCAAAAATAAACTGTAAAACAGCATGAGGAGAAATTTGGTTGAAATTAGCAAAACCACGCTCTCCCTCTGCTGGCTCCCGGGTGGAACAGCTCTTTCACATCCTGCCAAGTGAAACTCTTTCGTGGTACTCCAGAGACACTTAGAATTCTTCAGCATTCACCCAAGCCCAGGCATACCCAGCCAAGTCAGTGGTGCCTTCTCTCCCCTTCTCTGAGGGAAAATGCAGGGACGATAGTAAGTAGATATGAGAGGATTACCTCATTTTCCAAGACAGCACTTCAAAAAAGAGATTTAATGCTACATATTACATATGTGCTACATAACAGCACATTTTATAATTTTCTGAGAATACAATCCATACAGTTTGAGGTACAGCCTCACAGAGTGGGGAAAACACTGCATTTGGGGTTGGAAGAGCTGGGGGTGAGGCTGAAACCTCCCTGGTACTGAGTGATTGTACAAGTGTCACACACAACGGCTGCCGCTTACATACTGGTTATGTGACATTGCCGTCTCTGGGACTGGATTTCACCAACCTCGAAACAAAGAGACTATGCAACAGAACTGTTAGAGCTGTTTCTAGTTCTAGTATTTTATTATTCCAACTGCTGTTGGATTACACAATTTTAATGATTCAGTTCTGCTTTCTCGTTTACCATTTGGTCGTTCTCAGTCAAGCAACACGGGTGAAACCATCCCTGTCGTTATCTGCTTTTCCCCTTAATACCGTGGGAGCGCACTGCAGACACCCAGATGAGTCCTAACCGATACAGTAATGGCTGTGATGGCAATGAAGAGCCCTGGGAATTTAATTTGAGCCAAATTCTCTCCTAGTTATAGGGGTAGTGTTTTGGGTGGCAGCTGTGAGCAGATCTATTTCCTTCCCCACGCCACCCCCTCAAGAGTCTGAAATTTCCAAATGAGAAAAATAAGAA